CCCCCGCTCAGCCCGCATCCCTCTCTCCGAGCACAAAGTCCATCAATCCTCGCTCTTCCCTCTGCACCTTGTCTCATGTGCCTCCCGCTCGCAGAGATGGCCACCGTTGAAAGCGCGTGTTCTCTTCCTCACCATCGAATCTCAGGAAAAAAAAAGGGCACACAGACACAAGCAAAGGAGCACGCAACGAGAGAAAGAGGGTCGATTTAGCAGGGGCAGCACAACTAGTCCGCGCGCTTATAGGCGCAGGGCGTCAAGACGCGGCTGTGAGTACAACCGCTTAGTACTCGAGGTCCTCCTCGCCGACGTCGACCGAGTCGAGACCGACCTCCTCGTAGTCCTTCTCGAGCGCGGCGAGGTCCTCGCGCGCCTCGGAGAACTCGCCCTCCTCCATACCCTCGCCGACGTACCAGTGGACAAAGGCACGCTTCGAGTAGAGCAGGTCGAACTTGTTGTCGAGGCGGCCCCAGGCGCCGGCGATGGCGGTGGTGTTGGCGAGCATGCAGAGCGAGCGCGACACCTTGGCGAGGTCGCCGCCGGGGACGGTGGTGGGCGGCTCGTTGCAGATGCCGATCTTGAAACCGGTGGGGCACCAGTCGACAAACTGGATGGTGCGCTTGGTCTTGATGGTGGCGACGGCCGAGTTGACGTCCTTGGGCACGACGTCACCGCGGTAGAGCAGACAGCAGGCCATGAACTTGCCGTCGCGGGGGTCGGCCTTGACCATCTGGTTGCCCTTCTCAAACGAGGAGAAGGTCATCTCGGCGACCGAGTTCTGCTCGTGGCCGGCCTTGGCGGCGGAGAGGATGGGGGCGTAGGTGGCGAGGGGGAAGTGGATGCGCGGGAAGGGCACGAGGTTCACCTGGAACTCGTTGAGGTCGACGTTGAGCGAGCCGTCGAATCGGAGCGAGGCGGTGATGGACGAGACCACCTGGGCGATGAGGCGGTTGAGGTTGGTGAAGCCGGGCGAGGCGATGCCGAGCTTGGTGCGGCAGATGTCGTAGATGGCCTCGTTGTCGACCATGAAGGAGCAGTCCGAGTTCTCGAGCGTGGTGTGGGTGGTGAGCACCGAGTTGTAGGGCTCGACGACCGACGAGCTCATCTTGGGCGAAGGGTACACCGAGAACTCGAGCTTGGCCTTCTTGCCAAAGTCCTGGGCGAGGCGCTCGAGGAGGAGCGAGCCGAAACCGGAACCGGTACCACCGCCAAACGAGTGGAAGACAAAGAAGCCCTGGAGGCCGGAGCAGGCGTCGGCGAGCTTGCGGACGCGGTCGAGGGTCTGGTCGATGAGCTCCTTGCCGACGGTGTAGTGACCGCGGGCGTAGTTGTTGGCGGCATCCTCCTTGCCCGTGACGAGGGTCTCGGGGTGGAAGAGGGAGCGGAAGGTGCCGGTGCGGACCTCGTCGACGACGTTGGGCTCGAGGTCGACGTAGATGGAGCGGGGCACGTACTTGCCGCTGCCGGTCTCGCTGAAGAAGGTGGAGAATCCGTCGTCGTTCTCCGAGGGGCTGCCCTCGAGGATGCGGCCGTCGGGGCTGAGGCCGTGCTCGGCAAGGTAGAGCTCCCAGCAGGCGTTACCGATCTGGATACCGGCCTGGCCGACGTGGAGAGAGAGAACCTCACGCATGATGTCGAAGGATGGAAGCTACGGGAGCAAGACGTCAAGGAGTTGGGTCAGGATGAATGCACGTGGATGGCTTGGGTTGCGGTGATCGATGGTGCGGCGGGTACTCACGTGTAGGTAAAGAGGTGTTGTAGGTGTGGGAGGGGGTTGCGCTCAGAAGTAACGTAGAGCGAGAGACTTGATGGTGGCGGGAGGAGGAATGGCGCGCTGTGATGGCGAGCGCTGAAGCAGGGGAGCGTTGGCAGAGGCGGGCGGGAGGGCGGGCGGGCGCGTGTGTGTGCGTGTGCGTGCGTGTTGGACTGGTCCAAATGATGGGTCCCACGTCGCGAGCCAGGCAGATGAGCACAGTCGAGGCATCGGCGCTTGTTTTCCTCTGCTCCTCTGAAGGCGCAACCAACACCGAGGCTTCAGTCCAGTCTTGGCTGGGGCGATACAGTGTTGGAATGCACTAGCAGGCATTTCAACGAGCTCCAGCGCGCAATAATTCGAATCGACTTTGCTTTCAAAATTGGAATCTCAAGTCGGGCACGTTGAATTTCGGTGTGATTTTTGGAGAGGCAGGTGTTGGTCGATCTCGACTCGAGCCAGACGCGATTTTTCTTTGCCCAGCTCAAGTCACAGTGTGATCTCAGAGAGGTAGCACGCGCGACCGTACGCGTCACTCGCACGAACCAACTTTTCGGCGATGTTAAGCCGTGAGCCACACGTGACTCGAGCTCTCCCGCCGCAGCTTACCGGCTTGTGTGTAGCTTGATGCTTCGCCTCTCGACTGATCCACTTCCTGAGGTATGCGTGCAATGTGCGTGCAGCTCCCATGCCGACAATGATGTACACAAACTGCCCATTGGTTGTGCGCCAGGGTCAAGCGGAGGATGCGGACGAGAGCCGCGCGGCGCCAAATAGCATGCCTCTGGTTGGCTCTGCGCATCGGAAGACGGGCGAGCAAAATCCCGACCACTTTTATTCCCCCCACGGGCCAACTTGACTCGTACAGTCAGTGTACATAGACCGCTTTGCTGAGTGCACGAGCGTCTCGATTTGACGGCCATTCGGCACTGGTGCCTCGATGTACTGTGCTTCTTAGTATTATCGAACAGCGTCGGTCATTGGGAGCATGGTCAGAGAAGGCAATGCAGAGAGCCGATTGTGCCGGTCACATATTCAGCCGGGGCACGCCAGGCTGCGTACAATTCGGGTTTGAGGAGAAATTTCGTACGCAGCAAAAGGGCACAAATCGAAGCGTGGAGCGCACAGGGCTTTTTCGGTGTGGGTGTGTGCGCGTTTTTGCGGTCGCTGCTGCTTACTGCTGGTGCTGCTGGTGCTGCTGCTGGCTTGAGCGGCCAAATGGCAATTTGCAGCCACAAAGCTCATCACGAGGTGGAGAGATCCGAACTCGTCACTGCAAAACGATAGCCGTTACTCTTGTGTCTCCTGCAACAACGTCCTCTCACCATCTCCGTCACGTCTTATCATCATCACTATCGTGGTCTCCGTCAATCTTCACAGAAACCTCCTCGCACGATCGAGCTGAGCCGCATACTGAAGCAGCCTGTCTCTCCATCGACAGTCGGTGGTCGAACCTCGTTTCCGACCACGTCGATAGAGACGCCTGCCCGCAGAACAAGCGCTGTTCAGCATGTCTTCAGCCGGTGTAGACTCGTCACAGGCGGCGGCCACTGCAGCACCAAGCTCTAGTCGATCTGCTGCCACCGATGCCGAACCGCCAGAAGCGCGCGGCCCTAGTGTTTCCAACTCGGCCGCTTGGGGGTCCTCAAAACCCGTCGCTGCCTCGGCCGCTACAAAGGCATCCTCTGACGCTCCTTCGCGGCTCGGCTCCAACTTCTGGTCCTCTTGGATCTCGCCCTCCTCCTCTTCCGCCGTCGCCGCCTCGTCCGCAATGGAGAAGCGTTCCAAACCGCGCAGGCCTTCCTTCGAGGAGTTCCGTGCCGAGGAGCCGCCTCAGGCTCGACTCATCCGTCTTCGCGGACTCTTCGACACCCTCTTGGACGAGGACGACGAACAGGCTCTCGCAGGCGGTAGGGCCAGGGAAGAGTGGATGAAGTCCGCCCGCCGTGCACGTTATGGCGCCGGCGGAAGCCTTGCTCGCGGCAGTCTTGCGCCATCCGACATCCGCAACTCCACCGTCGGCTTTGAAGCTTGCACCATGTCGGAACATTCCGAGTCCTCCTCCTCTTCCTCGTCCTCACCATCAGCTTCGACATCCTCGACATCCTCGACATCGACTCCGTCAGCCTCTGCCAAGTCTTCGTCCGCAGATTCCAAGCTCCCCTCGCCTCCACCTCCGCCACGACAATCCTACGCCAAGGAACTCCTCAATCAGTGCCGCCAATGTCGCGAGGACCTCGAGGCTCAGCGCGCACGCCTGGCTGAGGAACAGGCCAAGCGCGCATCCGACCCGGGCTGGACCTCTTCCTGGGGCCTACCCACCTGGCTTGGAGGCACCGACCCGGCGAATCAGGATGCCGACGCATCGTCGAAAGGAACCCTCGCCAATGTAAAGGACAAAATCCTGTCGGCATCCGTCACCTCGACCACCCAGCAGGATTCATCTCAACGTCCGTCATCAACATCGCTCACCACCTCGCTTGGCTCTTACTTGGGCTACGGCGGTGATAGCTCCTCCAAAGATGCAAAGTCTGCCGAGTACGGACACAACCCACCGGACATGGAGCATGAAGCCGGCTGGACGGGTAGCGGCGTCTGGGGTCTTTCGGCGGTCGGACACAAGAAGCGCGCCGCCGATCGCGACCGCGACGAAAAAGTCCGTCGCGGCCAAAAGGTCGACGACGACGGTGGCGCTCGACAGCGCCAGATCGAGTGGGAGGGCTTCCTCGCCTACGCCGAGAACAAGGAGCGCGAGCTCTACAAGCTCTTTGTCGAGATGGACAAGAACTGCGACATGAAGCTCGACGTCCAAGAGATCCGCGGCGCACTGGACCGAGCCGGCATCGACGTGCCGCAGATCTCGCTCGACGACTTTATCGCCTCGCTCACCAGCACGCGTCCCTCTGCCCACGCCAGCGGCGAGAAGACCTACGTCTCCTTCCCAGAATTCCGCGATTACCTGCTGCTGCTCCCCCGCAAGCCCTCGGTTTCAGAGATCTTCCGCTTCTACCAGGTGCGCAAGGCCTTCGGTCTGTTTGGCATGGGCGGCATCTTTGCCGAACTCGCCGTGGGCTGGGGCAAGACCGAGCGTGGCGCTGCCGCCGTCAACTTTGACGGAGACGTCAGTCTGGCTGGCGAGGAGAAGAAGCGCGAGTCGCCTGCCGTCAAGGAAGCCAAGAGGGCCGAAAAGATCGGCAAGCGCCAAGAGGCTGCTGCGGCCGCGGCCAGCAAAGCCGTCGAAGCGTCTGCCGATGATGGCACTACCGCGAGCCCGTCCACCTCGACCGGCACTGCCGACGTCGAAGGTACCAAGGAGAAGGCGGCGCAAGAAGCGGCCGCCGCCGCAAAGGCAGCCTCCGAGGAGGAGTTGGCCGAAGAGGAAGAGGAAGACGACAACGACATGATCCAAGGTGCGGTGGCGCTCAAGTTCCTGGTGGCCGGTGGAATTGCCGGTGCCGTGTCACGCACAGCGACCGCTCCTTTCGACCGTCTCAAGATCTACCTCATCACCACCGCTCGCGCTCCCGACGTGGCCGAAGCTGCCAAGGCGGCCGCCTCGGGGCAGGCTGGCGCCAACGGAGCGGCAGCCAAGGCTGCTGGACAGGGTCTGGGCATCCTCAGAGAGGCGCTTGGCAACCTGTATCGTGATGGCGGTGGACTGAGGGCGTTTTGGGTGGGCAACGGCTTGAACTGTCTCAAGATCTTTCCGGAAAGTGCGATCAAGTTCCTGTCGTACGAAACGGCCAAGCGCGCATTTGCCAAGTACGTCGACCATGTTTCGGACTCTCGCGACATTTCGGGGACGAGTCGATTCCTGTCGGGAGGTATTGGTGGTATCACGTCGCAGCTGGCGATTTATCCGGTAGAGACGCTCAAGACGCGACTCATGTCGTCGCAGAACGCCAAGACGTCGCTGCAGGGCAACGCGTTGTTGGTCAAGACGGCTCGGGATATGTGGCAAGCGGGGGGGATGCGCACGTACTATCGTGGTCTTACGGCGGGATTGATTGGCGTCTTTCCGTATTCGGCGATTGACATGTCGACATTCGAAGGCATCAAGCTGTTCTACATCAAGTATACGGGCAAGGAGGAACCGGGTGTGTTGGCGCTGCTCTCGTTCGGTTCGGTCTCGGGCTCGGTGGGTGCCACGACCGTGTATCCGCTCAACTTGATCCGAACGAGGTTGCAGGCTGCTGGCACCCCGGCTCATCCGGCTACGTACGATGGATTCTGGGACGCCGCGAAAAAGACCTACGTCCGTGAAGGATTCGTCGGCTTCTATAGAGGCTTGGTACCCACGTTGGCCAAGGTCGTCCCCGCTGTGAGCATCAGCTACGTCGTGTATGAACAGAGCAAGAAAAGGCTAGGTGTCCAGTAGCCAGCATTGGTGTTGCAATAGATGAACCATCCTCAACAAGACGACTGTGCGAAATGTGCAATGGACAGCCTGCTCATCCTGAGGCCTTGGTGCGCTTCAGCAAGACCGCAGGGGGATCAATTGATAATGATGCCCAACCAGAATGATCTGTGTGACCAAAGACAGCACCAAGTCCGGTGGGTCATGGCTTGATTTCGCATTTCGTCGTCTACATCTCACTGCCGCTGTCACACAAGGGTAGCTCGTGGAGGCATGCCTCTATCACACTCGAGTACCTCGCCGTTGCGAGCCACACACTCGCCTCGACAGCACACGACTAGAGGGTCGGAGAACAGACGACATGCATCTGCGGTTGCATTCGCGCGCATGCGGGGGTATACTACTCTAAACCCAGACTCTTCCTCGCCTCGTCTAGACGGGGGCGGACCCAGACGGAGCCGGACATTTCGATCGCAGCATGAACGGCGTTGTTGCCCTTTTCCAGCATCTCCTTGCGGTGTTCTTCGATCCAATCCGCCAGCTTGAGTCCCTCCAATTCCGCCTCGACACTGGCGCGTTGAGGGATGCTCTCTACCACGCACCGCGAGAGCACCCATGCAAGCAGCTCAGGCGCCGACCGCGCAAAGCGGTACAACAATCGCGCGGGCGACGGCAGTCCAACCACCGCGTCAACCTTGGGCGACGTTCGGCCTGACGAAGGACCTACTGAGCTTTCGGGCGTAGCGGCTGCTGCTGCACTCGACGAGCCACTGCCAACGCATGAGCCGCAACAAGACGAGGCATCATCTGCACCGCTCTCGCCCACGCCCCATGCCGAGTGTCCACCGTCGTGCGAGCACAGCGCAGGCGACGGCTCCGGCTCCGCAAGCGCATCGTTCAACAATGGCTCCAGGTCCACATTGTACGCAAACAGATCCCACGGCATCCCAGCCACGCCGGAGCTCGCAGCATCCGACCCTGCGTGTGCGGCAAAGTAATCGGCTCCGCCTGCATTCGCAGCGCCAGCGCCAGTACCCGCTCGAGACTTGCGCGTGACCAAACGGCTGATCCGATCGAGGAACGCCTTCTGGCCACGCCCAAGTAGCGTTTCGCGGATCCACGCATCCTCGACGCCATCACGCAGCGCAAACGCGCGGATGAGGTTGCATCCAAGCGCCCACAGGTCGCCCGATGGCCCCATGCGTCGGCCCATCGGGCCGGGACACGCCTCGGGGGGGATCCAATCGTAGCTCACCAGCTGCACCTGTCCATCGCCCCCCGGGATACCACGATACGGATTCGCGTTCTCGTAGTCGATGACGACGAGCGCGCCGTTCTCGTCAAACATGAGGTTCTCGAGCTTGACGTCGCCGTGCATCCAGCCGGATGCGTGGAAGCGCGCCAGCGTGCGGATGGCCTGGACGAACAGGTTGAGGATGACGCCGTTCAGCTCAGCCTCTTCGCAGCCCGCGATCACAAAGAAGCCGGGATAATCTTCCTCCAGCCGGATGTAGCGGTCGTCCTCGGTCTTTAGGATCTTGGCGACGGCGCCGGTGCGCGTCGGGTTGAGCGTCTGTGCCTTCTGCACTTCATCCAGAATGTCGTCGAGATAGGTTTCCTCGAGCTCCTTGGTGAGCTCTTTGGTCACCTTGCCCGCCGACGGATCGGCGGCTCGAAGCTTGGCTTGGATGCTTTTGATTTCCATGGCAGCGTAAAAGTTGCCGGCGCTGTCCATCGCCCACCTGCGCAGCTTGGCAGCCGACGAGACACGGTTGTCGGGTGTGGTGATGAGGTAGACCTGACTGCTGCCATCGGTAGCGGCAGCTTCTGCCGGCGCTTCGTTGGGCTCGGAAAATGACGGTCTAGGCGATTGACGCAGGTTCTCGGCGCCGGAACTGTTGGATCTGCGACGATTCGACTGCCTGAACACAGCGTTGTCGCCATCGTCGTCGTAGCTGCTGCTGGATCCGCGGCGACCCCATGGTTTGGTGACGGGATGCTCCGAGTTGGACAGGTCGGCGTCCTCAAACGACGCGGTGCGTGGTTTGGCCTCGGCGCTGAAGAGTCGTACGCTCAAGCCATCTGAGACGGCGCCTTCGCGGTAAGGGCCCGTCTTGTCATAGAGCGTTCCCTCGACGGTTTGAGGCGTCTGGCGCTTGGCTAATTTGAGCGGCGGTGCGCGTGGTGACGTGCTTCTGATGATTGGGGACCGAGGTGCCGGGACACGCTGTGAAGGTGGGATCGAACGCAGATCTTGTGCACTGAGTGGGCCTTTGCCTTCGAGCGCAGCATCGGAGAGCGAGGCCTGCATGCCGACGGCGTCGTCGAGACCATCTTCGGCATCGTCGGGATCTGTGCTTGGCTCGGTGGTGGCAGCAGCGGCAGCAGCAGCCTCTTCGAGGTTGGACCTTAAGCGGCGCAGATGGGGTCGAGCGGCCTCGTCGAGGTCGAGAGTGGCGAGGGCAGGCTTGGTCTTTTTGGTTTGTGGCGAGTCTTTTGTGCGCTTCTTGTGCGGGCCCGATCTCGGCTTGCTCGCCTTGGTCTTTTCCTTCTTCTTGGACGCACGCTCGGCGTGTGGGGGAGAGGTTGACTGCTTGTGCCTTTTCGGTTTGTCTTCTGCGCTGTCGCTGTCTTTGGAATCGGCAGTGGGCACATCGACGCGACTTGTCTGGCCGCTGGCGGGGTGGATCTGGGCTAGAGGGCGAAGGAAGGGGGCAGCGTCTGAGGAAGCGGAGGAGCGGCGTCTGGGAGTGTGAATGCCAATGACCGTCTCGTGACGATGGAAGGCAGCTTCGGGTCCGTTTGAAGAGAAGCGGCGGGGTCTTGCGGAGGGGTTGGTGAGATCGAGCGGCGTCATGGGCGGAGTGATGGCCTCGGAGGGCCTTCTGCTGCGACCGCTGGCACTGTAGCGTGAAGACCGGGAGCGGCTGGATCGGTAGGATGTGCCACTGTCGCTGTAATCGTCTTCGGAGCCAGAGGAGTAGGAGGAGAAGGCGCCGCGGCTGCCGCGGTGGCCGCTGCGGCTGCTGATGGCACTTGCGACCCTCTCCCAGCTAAAGAGGCCGGAGAAGCGCTGCTTGTCGTATTGCCTCCATCGCTCGTGGTCCTTTCCGAGGAAGAAGGTGGCAGCTTTTGGTGCGCTGAAGCCGGGGCGACCGGAGGGGCGGATGACGATAGGGGAACGTACTGCGAGACCGGTAGGAACGGAAGAGGAGGGATGGTCGGCGAGGGCGTCGAGCTGCTTGGGTGGATAGTGGTTCTGTAGCACACGAGCCGTGGTGGTGCCGGACGGATTGGCGCGTCGACGCGCTGAGGGTGGAGCGACCACAGATGGCGTGGGCGTTGCTGTTTCCAGCGCTGGCATCGCTGGCATCGCTAAGGACGCGTCGGCTGCGACAGCGTTGGCGGGCCGAACTGTAGGTGGGATAGCCATGGCTTACGCTGTGAGGGTGGAGACTGTCATGCGGCGGGGCAGGCAAAGAAGAGAAGAATCGGCTCAAAGGATGGCGATGCGAATGATTGGGCCGTGGGCATATGACTTGGTGCTGTTTTAGAGTTGTAAAGCTGCTCCTCCTGGCATGTGTGAATGCTAGCGGCTGGCGAGCGTCGGGTGGCGTGTGAGTGATGGTCGTGAGTATGGTGCTGGGCGGTTCAATGTGTAGCGTTGTGGTCGATGGAGAAGAAAAGGCTGATGCAGTTGAGTGGGATTGCCAGCGAGGATGCAGGCGAGGGTGGCGCCAAAGATGACGGCTTCGATAAGATGCGTGCAGCTGAGCGTTGCGGAGGAGAGCAGTGACGGAGAAGTGGAAGCTCGAGAGTGCGGAGATCCGATTCCGCCAAAAATAGTATTTAAAACTCCGGAGATGCACTTTAAGCGCAAGGGCGCGGTTAGATCCGAGGCGTAAGACGAGTCGAGGCGGTGCGAAAGTGGACGGATGTCTGATGTGTCTGAGATGGACGAGTGGTGAAGCGTCGAGTTGAGATGATGGAAGTGCTTGAAGAGGAAGCAGCCGACTGTGACGACAGCACCAAGTGGCCATGGCTCAATCGAGCGTGCGAACGAGCGAGCCAACCGGGAAAGTGGACAACGGCCAAGCCACATTTGGCGACTGGTGGATCGGACATCATCGCACCTCAGCACCGCCCGCACACGGATACGCACAGGCGACAGGCCGGGCCGGACGATGGACGGAGCTCAGGCCCGAAAGCTCTAAAGATCTGGCGAGACCGACTCGACTCGATTTGATTTGACTCGGCTCAGCTGCAGCGCGCTCTGAAGCCGGATGGAAGAAGCGGCCAGGCTGTACTTCCGAAATCACCGTCTGAGCCGGGGTCTCCTCTAAGCTGCGGTCTCTGCGCAGGCCACAAGAAGGGATATGACTGAGCAACGCGGGCCAAGTCAGCACAGAGGTGTGACGTCTCGCTGGCTGTCGCACTTGGCACTCTGCAGCCTCCACTTGCGCCGAAATTTCCAGCAGCTGAAGCGCGGAAGGGCCGAGTGGCGCTTGCGCACGGCACACGACGTTGCATTTCGATCCTCGTCGCTCGTTGCTCGTCCTCGCTTCAGTTCCAGACTCAGTTCCAACAGTTGCCACGGTCTCGATCGGAACGATCCGAACCGAAGCCGCTTCTCGCAGTGCCTTCCGACGTGACCGGCTTGCCATGCTGGAAGCGAAGATGGCACGTGGACGCGAAGGCGCATCGGGAGGGCGCAGATCGGGCCGTGATCAGACCGATGGCTTCCAACCCGCATCCCTCTCTTCCACCTGGCCTTCTCGCACGTCAGCCGCCTACCGGCGATTCTAGCGAAAGCCAGAGCTGGCAGGAGCATGCATGGCGCTTTGACACGCGAGGGTTTGCCGACCCACTGGATTTGCTTAGCCGGTGCATGTGTGCCATTTGACCTCCTTTCCTGTCGATGCAGCAGCCTGTTCAACGAGCATGAGCAGCTCGACGGCATTCTTGACGCGCTCCAGCGACGCCTCGGGGCATGTGCTTTTCTGCGAATTGCCAAAATTGTGTTTGTACTCGCTCCCTCTTTTTGAATTGGCTGCTTGGGTCCATTTTGAAATGACTGTGGCTTCAGGCTCCGGTAAATACGGCGCGGAGCTGCAGAGCCAGCCGACCGGACATCTGCAGCCCGCTGTCGGACCCCTTCGCCCCTTGGCCTAGAGAGAGAGTCTCTGTGTTGTGGCCGTTCGGAGTGCGGAGGCGCGCTAGAGCTCCAAAACACACTCCTCTCTGCAGAGGGCAGAGCCAAAACATCCAGCAGCAGCCGCCATGGAGCCTTCTCCTCCTTTTTCCCTCCGCCTGCAAGTTTGGCTCCGGTCACTCAACTGCAGCCGCTCTCTCCACGGCACCGGCCCTTTTGCACTCCCGTCTCCCTCTGCCCCTCTGAGCCGTCCCTGCCTACCGCTGCCTACCGCTGCCTACCGCAACAACCTTCGTCACCATCACCACATTGAGCCGACCTTTCTCATTTTCGCCCATCAACCTCCTCCCAATTCCGGCTCGAGTCGACTTCCCAACGCTCTGTACCGCAGCCGCCTCGGCTCCCACATTTCACAATGGCCTACGCGTCCAACGGTGTAGTTGGCGTGCGCCAATCAGCGTCGACCAGCGAGAGCCCCGTATACGATGTGCCGTTCGGCACCGTGCAGCTCGCCAACGCCAGCGCCGACGGCTCGGGCAACTTTGATCTCGCTGCCGGCTTCACTGCCGCGGCTGCCGAGTTTGAAAACCAGGACGAGGAAGACGACGAGGAGGGCGACGACGACGACGGCGACTCGGACGACGGCAAGGGCAAGAAGAAGGGCAAGCGCGCACGCTCCGAAGCCAAGGGCGAGCGCGACCTCAAGACCGGTCGCCGCAAGATCAAGATCGAGTTCATCGAGGACGACGCGCGCAGGCACATCACCTTTAGCAAGCGCAAGGCGGGCATCATGAAGAAGGCGTACGAGCTCGCCACGCTCACGGGCACACAGGTGCTGCTGCTCGTCGTGTCGCAGACAGGGCTCGTCTACACCTTCACCACGCCCAAGTTGCAGGCGCTCGTCACGCAGGCCGAGGGCCGCAATCTCATCCAGGCGTGTTTGAACGCGCCCGATCCGCCCAACGGAGCCAACGAGAGCGGCAACGAAGAGTCGGGCGACGATGCCAGCGATGCCGACGACGCCCTCTCGCCGTCCGAGTCGCAGACCAGCTCCAACAAGCGCGCAGCGCAGAACCGCAAGCGCCCACGCACCAACTCGGCGAGCAAGTCGTCCAGCGCCTCGACGTCTGCAGCTGGCGCCTCGGGCGCTGGCGACGACGACACCGCCTCCAACCCCACCGCCAAGCGCGGCCGCGGACGTCCTCGCAAGGTCACCGCGGGCGGCACGGCGAGCTACGCCGACACTGGCGCGGCTGCAGGCGCGGCTGCGGGCTCGGCGGGATCCTCAGCGGCCAACGGTGCCGGGTCGGGCGCTGCGGACAACGCTCCTATGCCGCCTCCCGCCATGCATCAGAGCTTCAGCGACGATGCCGTACACCAGCAGCACCAGCAGCATCAGCATCAGCAGCAACAGCAGCAGTATACGCACGTTGGATCGTCCGAGTTCGCCGGCTACGGCAACGCTGCCTTCTACGGCGATACTGGGTCCGGCAATGCGAGTCTCAACCTGGGCTATGCACAGCCCGGGGCGCACGCGGGCAATCTGGCGGTGGATACGAACGGTGCGGCGTGGAACCAAAACATGTCGCCCAATCCAAATGCGCAGATGTTTGATACGCAGATGCAGCAGCAACAGCAACAGGCGTCGGGCGCGTTCAACTATGCCCAACAGCAGCAGCAGCAGCATTTCGGTCATTTCCCGCACCACATCCCGCCCATGCAGGGTGGACCTGCTTGGTGAGATCACCCCTCAGACGCACTCGTTTTATACCCCGGTTCTTTCCTAGCTCCCCCTTTCCAGCACGATGACAGGATTCGTACCGTTTTCTCATGCAATCTTAGCACACACGCATTTGGTTTCAGCAAAGATGTGTATGAATGTTCAAGTGTGGTTAGGGGATGGGGATCTAGCCGACGAAAGCGCCTTCGTCTAGTTCTACGCCGAATTCGTCGCGGGCCATTTGGCGCATGCTTTGTTCGAGGTCGTCTTCGAAGCCGCGCGCGTTGGGGTCGGATTTGCCGAGCAGTGCCGAGCGCGGAGCGCGCAGCAGGAAGCCCAACCAGTGCGAAAGGCTCGATCCCACAAACGCCAGATCAAGCACAAGCAGCGTGGTTCGGAACCGCACAAAGTCGAGTCGATCCTTGATCCACGCTGCGAATCTCTGGGCCATACTCGACGACGTCATGTCCGAACCTCCCGTGGATGAGGGTAGCTTGGTGCGGACAGGACGCAGGACACGATACAGCGACGGCGTCTCGGTGTGCGTGATGAGCGCAGCGGCCGCATGCTTTGCGAGGATGTTGAGCCGATTGACGGGCGAGCCGAGCACCTGATTGTTGGCCTGGATGATGCGCATGGATCGACCGACAAACAGCAGCTCCTTGGGAAGCAGCTCGGTGTGCACCAGGAAGCTCTTGAGCTTCTCCTTCATCTCGCGCTGCAGCTCCAGATCCGTCTTGCGAGCATGCGCACCCTCGGCACCAGCCTCGCCCTTGGGCTTGGGCTTGCTCCACGGCCGCAACAGTGTCGCCGACGCAAACAGCTCCGACGACCCTTCGCCCATGCCCCAGCTCACCGTGATCGCGTCGAGCGTCTTGAGGTCGAGCGTGAAGATCGCCTTCCACAGCTGGGCGTACTTGCGCCTGAACTCTTCGCTCAGCTCGACGTACAGCCCATGGTCGATGAGGACCACCTGGTGCTGGCCCTTTTTGCCGTTGGGATGCTGACGAACCAGCACGTTGGACGGATGCCCATCCGCCTGCACGAATCCGTGCTGGAAGATCTGGCTTGCAAAAGCCTCGCACACGGAGCGCGAGACCTGCTTGGCGGACAGCCCCATCTCGTCCAACTTTTCGCGGTCGGTCATGCGGCACGTGCCACCGATCCACTCCATGACGAGCACGCGCTGCGTGCACATGTCTTCGTAAAACTTGGGCACGTAGCACGTCTTGCGCACCACCGCCTCCGGATCCGTCTCGATGGCACGCTTGGCGCGCAGAGAGTTGGCGAGCTCGTGTTGGAAGAACGTCTCCTGTTCGATCTGGTCCGAGATGTATTGGCCCGAGAACGAGAGCGGCAGCTCAAAGATGCGCTCGTACAGCTTGAGCAGGATGCGGAACGACCACAGATCCCACTTTGCGTACTTGCGGATGTTGGGTCGCTGCACCTTGACGGCCACCTCGGGCCCGAGCGTGCCCGGTGGTGCGTCGGGCGCAGGCTTGAGACGCGCCTTGTGCACCTGTGCCACACTCGCCGCAGCCACGGGTACCTCGTTGAATTCGGCAAAGACCTCCTTGGGGTCCGCGCCGAGCTCGGCGATGAGAACCTTGCGCACCTCTTCGTACGGCAGTCGTTCCGCCTGATCAAAGAGCTTTGTGAGCTGGTGGTACGGCTTGGGCAGGATGGCAGCTTGGCAGCCGATGGCCTGACCGAGCTTGACGTAGAGACCCTGGTTCTTCTCGCAGACATACATGAGCTTTTCTGCGCAGCGCTCGTGGAGCGCGTTGATGGATTCGAGCGAGTTGCGGTCAAAGTTGAGCTTGTAGTCCATGGCGATCTGCACGCCTGTCCAGGCGGTCAAGAGGTTGCGCTGGGCGGTACGTGCATTCACGTGCTCGTCGAAGAGATATGCTACACCGACAGTTGCAATCAGGATGCCAGATCGCTTCAGCCAGCGAGAGGGACTCTTCTTGTGCTTGTTGGGGCCGCCGCCGCTGTTCGGGCCTGTGGTGGATGAGGCTGGACGCTTCTGTAGGGCGGAGAAGCGAAACCAGGAACGGCGAGCGGGCGGCTCTGATCGGACAACACGGGTGAGGGAAGATGGCAGCGGGGCCTTGATGCCTTTTGCCTTGGCTGCGCTGGCGAGGATATCGGAGATGGCGATCTCTGGCTGAGTCGCGGAACTTCCGATGCGGATGGTCCGAACGGCACCCGAGCTCAGGAGCGAAGCAGCTGCCCGATGCTGGCGTCCACCAAGGATGTGGTCCTTCCGCCACGATTGCGTCGCCCTAGCTGTGAGCGGCATGGGGTGGGTCAAGCAGCCTAGCTGCGTCCTAATGGTCGCCGCCATCTTGATCAAGAGGCACGCACCGGTGATGGGCGCCGGAAATGGGTAGGTCCTCTTAACCTCGGTTTTGCAAGGTAGACGCTGTTGATGTGCAAGCTTCCATGCTACGGTCGATGTTGGTGGAGCACGCTGAAGAAGGGTAAAGGTTCGTCCTCGATGCCAGCTCGAGAAGGCGGACTTGCTGGGAAGATTAGCTGATAAAGCACCGTCACCTCTGCTTTTGACCTCCACACAGAGAGCAGCGCCAGCGCCAAAAAAGCAGGCATTCGGCTAAGATGGGCGCATCATGCATGCAGATCCACAGCGGCGAAAATGCAGAACTTTGTTAGGCCTTCCGACTCCAACATGCTCAAAGCGGCGCTTCACGCGAACGGGACCCGGGTTTTCAGCTTTGAAAGCGGCTCTGGTTTTGGGTGCCTTTGACCAGGAACACACTGCGCCTGCACCTTGCCTTACGAGTCTGTCGGACACAGCATCGCGCTGGGCTCGCCATTCCTGAGAACGAAGTTCGGGCCCGCACCGAGTGGAATTTGCCGCCAAGATCATGAGCCTGTGGAAGAAATGCGGGTTGGCTGGCGGGCGAAAGAAAGAAAGGGAATCCGGCGCCAGGCCAGTGACGCCAACCGACCACGCACGAGGCAAGGCTGGGCCCGAAACCCAGACGCGTCTGATGAGCCGCCGACCAAAAGGCCAAGCGGGCTGCAAGCAAGGCTCCGAACGCTTTTTGTGCGTGGGCGATGGCTGTGGTACAGCAGCAGCACTTTTGCTCGCATAGCCGGCTCAAGACGCGCGAAGTTGAGGGCGCCTTGACCAGGTTGCACCACCCAGCCATCCAAACCCGACCAAGCGACCAACCCCACCCAGCGACCCAGGATATCTCCACGCCCTTCACGCGATTGTCGCAGTAACTTAGTAGTGGCTCTAGACATCCTCCTGCACACTTGGCTCGGTGCTCTTGCCACTCATCCGTCGTCCACAGACGCGCACAATCATCCTTCTCCGACTCATATCCACTGCACGCGCGCCATCATAGACTGGATTCCACATCGCGGTCTCAGCACCCAGCTCGTGCATCCATCTCGACGCGCCATCGTCCGTCGCGTGCCGCCGCCGCCGTCCTAAGCGTGACTGCGTCTTCAGCGCACACCCTCTCGAGGAGTAGCTAGTCCGGCTTCATATCCACCTCTCTCCTGCGCGTCCAGCAGCCACGTCTCGGCTGCCTCGAGCACGCCGCCTGCCCTGGCCATCATGTCGCGTCTCTCGAGACAAGACTACCACGGCTACGCCCCGCAGGCTCATCCACGATGGTCGCCTTCTCCTCCGCTCAACCGCCTCTCGGCCAACGTAGACCTGCGCATGGCGCCCCGCCTCAGCAATGCCGCCCAGCAGGACATGCAGCCGCAATCCCAGACACCGCAGATGGCTTCCTCCCTCATCCCACAGCCCAACTCGACGCTGCCTTCCAACGCAGACGTCGTCCAAGCCATCAACTCGATGAGCGCACAGGTCACCAACCAGCTCTCCGTCATGGGCACCCAGCTCGCATCGCTCGTCTCCCTCACCTCGCGCCTCATCGAGATCTCCCAGATGACACTCGCCGCCAACGACGGCACCGCTCGCACCGCCAACGCACCCTCCAGCTCCACTTTGGCTCCAGCTACGCTCAGCACCCAATCGTTACGCCAAGACGCCAGCCCCGCCACCAGCAATGTCGACCTCAATCGTACGCGCGTCAATGGCGCACAAGCCTCGTCCTTTGGCCTCAACAACATGGTCACCAATCCACCCACAAACGCCCCACGCACCGAGACACGCCAGGGTGCATTCTATCAAAACGCATCGAATAGCAGCAGCTTCCGCACCACCCTTGACCCTGTCAGCTCCACTCTGGACAGGACGTTTGGAAGCACGCTCAGAGGCGCATCGCCTCCGGCCAACACCACCATGAACAACAGCCTCTCCGCCGCTGCCGGACGCACCACACAGCTCTCATCTCAGCAGCAGCAGCAACCACAACCACAACATCAGCAGCAACAGATTCCGCAACAGCAGCAGCACCATCTGCAGCCCCAGCAACAAAATATGCAGCAACCATCTACAGCACAGCAGCAGCAGCAGCAGCAGCAGCAGCAGCAGCAGCAGCCGGCAGATGCCACGCACGATGCCAACGATCTGCTCAAAAGCCGTCTGCCCAGCCCAGTCTTCCCAGACGACCCCTTGGACATGTCGACCGACGTGTCGCCCCCCGATCATCAGGCGTCCGCCAACGCCAAGCGCCTCTCTACCGCCGCACAAGGCGTTGCGGATAGCGCACGCAAGCCAACCGCCGACACATCGCTCGGCGACTGGAAGGCTTGGCTCAACCGCACATGGCACGCTCCGCCCGGCTACCAGTCCCGCCCCATCAAGTATCGCACCATGCAGGCCGCAAGACGCGCCCACCGCGACCAGACCAAGAGGTCCATGGCCACGCTCGGCCGTCTGCCGCTCAAAGAGTTCCTCGAGATCAGGCCGGAGCAGTACCTCAGCGTGCGCAAGACCGGTCGCAAGCTCTACCAAGAATGGCTCCTCCAAGAAGTGCGCCTTGCCAAACAGCCCGAGGACCGAGTCAAGGCCACCATCAACCGACTCGAGCACGATCATCCCGAGCTCGGCGACTGCGAGGACCACTGGAAGTCGAGGCAGCTCCTGCAGCAGATCATCGACAATGCCATCGACGAGGCCAACCTTCACCGCAAAAAGGAGGCGCGTGCCAGTCACGTCCCCAACGAGAGCACGCCACGCACCACCATGGACAGGAGCACGAGCATGCTCGGACTCAGCGCCAGCAGCTCCTCCTCTGCGCTGGCCGATGCGGATCGAAGCCTGCGCGGCAGTGACATGAGCATCTCTTCGCTTCGCAAGGCGACGGCTGGAGCGGCAGGCAACGGAGCCGCTGGCAGCAAGAATGCCAAGGCCGCCAATCGACGCAAGGCGGATCAGGCCGAGCTCGACGACACGCCGACGCGCTTCCGCCAGCCTCCCAACCAGCGCGCCTCGATGCTCGGACCCGGTGGCAGTGACGAGAACAACACTTCGTCTTTGCAGACTCAGCAGGGCTCGCTCTCGTCGTCCGGACTCGAAGCTGCGCATAGCGGCAGGAGCTCGACGCTGGCAGATTACTCGGGCGGCTACAACAACGACTCGAGCACCATTGCCTCGACCACGTCGTCCGACGCCATGCAGGCATCACGACATCACGCGCCGCACAACCAGCACATGCAGCATACACAGCAAACCCAGGCGCAGACGCAACAGCACCACAACGCGCACCAGGCCGCGCAGCAGCAGGACCACACGCACAATGCCTGGGCCAGCCAGACGGCTGCGCCGGGCGCCTCGCTCTTCGGGCAGTCGAACTATGCCAACACGGCGACCCAGCAGGCACTCTCGCATCACCAACAGTATGGACACCACGGCCACCATCACAACTCGAACTATCTCTCGTCCGACCCCGGTCAGACTGGACTGAGCGCGTCGGGCTCGGGTCTCTTGGATGACCAGCGCCATCAGTCGCATCTCAGCCCGCTCGTCAACGGCGGCAATGTGCGCATGCACCAGCCAGGCGCACCCCCGCATCACCAACAGCAACACCCGCAGCAACAGCCCGCGAACAACTTTTTCGACGGCAGAGGATACCAGTGATGCGCACCTACATACTCGGAGCACAGAGGAAATGCAGCCGCCATGAGCCATTGGAGACCTAGAGCATGTCACGGCTGAGAACGAGCGTAGAGTGTGTTCTGAGTGAGTGTTGAGAGGGAGCTATGCGGGCGCCCTGCTGGGTTTTCCGGACGAGAGCAGCGCCCAAGCCCTCCCTGCACCTCTATTCAGGCGTCGCAAATTTTCTATTGGTCGGCCGCGCCTGTGATTTGAAAATTGGCTTCAAAGACAGTGAGTGGGCCCTTTGAGAAAAATGCAATTTCTGAACGCGCCCTGGAAGAACGCGGCAAGAAGAAGAAAAGTGCCCTCTCCTGGAAGAGCCAGCCAGCCAGCCAGCTTCTGTAGGCACAGCAAAGCGCAGGAGCAAAAGACTGGCAACAGCGAGCGTGCTGAGCCCAGCCAGCAGGATCTGTCTGGCCTGCTAGCCACGGCGCGTGGTGTTGCAAAGTGGCTCACTTGCAGCAGCTCTCTGCTTTTGCCAGGCTGCTTCCTTTCACCTACGACCATCTCGTTCACGAAGCAAAGCTCCCTTTGAATCGCAAAAGGAGCACTGCATCGACACGCACACACACATCCACACAACATGGTTGCCGACCCATCCCAGCAGGGCCAGTCCACCGGCGCTGCTTTCCAACCCCAGCAGCAACAGCAGCAGCAGCGTCAGTTCTTCGGCGGAGAGGAGGAGCTTGGCGATGAGGAGGAGCTCGGTGACGACGTAGACCTCGTCGTTGGCGACTACTCGTCCGGCGCTTTCGCCGGCGAGGCCGGCGCCGAGGTCGACGAGGCTCAGGCCGCCGCTCTTGCCGCCGCACACGCCCAGGCTCAGCAGCAGGCCCAGGCTGCCGCGCTCGCCGCCGTGCCCGACCAGATCCGAAAGTACATTGTCCTCTTCAACCAGGCCGTCCAGAACAACAACGTGCAGGACATCAGCAACGCCTACGAGGGAACCTGGAACCGCCTCACCGACAAGTTCTACGCGCGCTCCGAGTGGCCCGAGGCCGAGACCATCGCGCCGCTCGTCAACGACGACCAGAAGTTCCTCACCCTCTACCGCGAGCTCTGGTACCGCCACGTCTACTCGCGCCTCAGCCCCGACGGCGAGGATCGCTTCCACTCCTATGACAACTACTGCGACTTTTTCAACTTTGTCCTCAACAGCGACGGGCCCGTCCAGCTCGAGCTCCCCGCGCAGTGGCTTTGGGACATCATCGACGAGTTCATCTACCAATTCCAGAGCTTCTCCCAGTGGAGGAACCGCGCCTCCAACAAGACCGACGACGAGATCGCCCTGCTCCAGGACGGCGGCGTGTGGAGCAGCTACTCGGTGCTCAACGTGCTCTACTCGCTCATCCAGAAGTCGAGGATCACCGAGCAGCTCGTCGCCGCCAGCAAGGGCGAGGACCCGGATGAGGTGGCCGGCGAGTTCGGCTCCAAGCCCCTCTACCGCATGCTCGGCTACTTCTCCATCATCGGCCTGCTGCGCGTCCACGTGCTGCTCGGCGACTACACGCTGGCGCTCAAGATGCTCGACCACATCGAGCTCAACAAGAAGTCGGGCCTCATCAACCGCGTGACGGCGTGCCACGTGACCGCCTACTACTACGTCGGCTTCGCCTACCTCATGCTGCGCAGATACCCGGACTGCATCAAGAGCTTCACGCACATCCTCGTCTTCATCATGCGCTTGCGACAGTACCACACGCGCTCGTACCAGTACGACCAGATCAACAAGACCGCCGACCGCATGTATGCGCTGCTCACCATGGCGTGCGCACTCAGCCCCACGCGCCTCGACGAGAACATCCAGACGCAGATGCGCGAAAAGTACGGCGACCAGTTCAACAAGATGACCAAGGGCGGCGCCGAGGGCGTGGCTGCGTTCGAGGAGCTCTTCCTCTACGCCTGCCCCAAGTTCATCACGGGCAACGCACCGCCCTACCACGACGAGGAGGCGCTGGCCGAGTACAAGGACAAGACGGTCTTCCCGGACCCGACGCAGCACCAGCTGCGCGTCTTCCTGTCCGACGTCAAGACGCAGCTGTCCAACGCCAACGTGCGTTCGTTCCTGCGCCTCTACACCACGCTCGGCACCGACAAGCTCGCGTCGTTCCTCGAGATCGACGAGGAGGAGCTGGTCGAGATGATGATGGTCATGAAGAACTCGACGCGCTCGCTCAAGTGGTCTAGCGGCTCGCTGCTCGAGGGCGAGGTGGTCAACACGTCGGATCTCGACTTTGTGATTGACACCAACATGGTGCACATTGCTGAGAGCCGTGTGGGTCGCAGGTATGGCGACTGGTTCCTGCGCAATGGCACGCGCATGCACGATGTGCTGGGCAACATCCAGTCCAAGCCTCTGCCCATTGTTTCCAAGGAGGTTCGCGACGAGGCGGCTGCGGCAGCGGCAGCGGCGGCAGCAGCCGGTGCAGAGGGCAAGGGCGACAGGAGGGGTCAGAAGTCCGGATGGGCTGGTGCAGCGGGCAAGCCCGGTGCCTTTGCAGGCAACCGCAACGCAGGCCGTGGACCCGCACCCGCTGCAGGCGCACCCGCAAAGCCCGCCGGCGCCTGGGGCGCTTCCAACACAAAACCCTCCCTCGCCGCCTAAATTCTTTCTCGACATCATCCCATCCCACCCAAAATTGTAGAGCGTGATTATTAGCTCGATCCCTTGCCCCTACATCGATTCATCGGCCTGTAAATCTCATCACTCGTAAGTCACATGCTGAATGTGCGATGTTCTCCTGTTGTGGTGTGTGAAAAAAGAGCATCCAGTGTCACAGAAGTGCGACGCATCAAAGAAATGCTGGGTGGTGCGTACACGGCGCCTCTATGTCAACCTCCGTGATGGTCGCACACAATCACTTTCGAAAGTTTTTCAGCATCCGTCTCATTTCCGAGTCACACTCGATCATACTGCTGGCCACACTCTGTGGGCAATGGCGCGGCATGGGCGGGCAAGAGAGTGTGATTGTCCGCGGGACAACGCCTTCAGATGCCGATGGCGCCGACAAAGATGACGGGCCGGTGGTCGGATCGGCCCTCGAGCACGCGCATCTCGCGATCGTCGAGCGCCTTGTACAGCAGACACTCGATCGTGCCTCGGCGCGGGCCGACGAGGCGGTCTGCTTCAGCGTCAGCCACCGTGTCGTCGGCAGCCGGAGCGGGCGTCGCATCGATGCTCGCCGTGCTCCCGTGGCGGTGTGAGCGGAGCGCCGAGAAGGCGGGTGCGAGGAAGGCGGGCAGGTGCGACGAGAGGCTGTCCATCCACCCGCCGCGGCTGGCGTCGGCCGAGGTGTCGGCGCCCGTGCCCATGTGCGTCGCCGAGGTCGAGCGCACAGGTGGCTGGATCGCGGCTGCGTGCACCATCGGCGACGAGGCCGCCGACGACGAGTGGCGCGGCGGGATGACGACGCGCGCCTGCACCTCGCCCGGCGCGAGTGCGGGCGAAGCGACGCGCTTTGGCACGCCACCAAAGCGCCGGTCGCGCTCCTCGACCTGGCTCGGCAGGTCGACCGAGCTGAGCGCCTTGTGCTCGAGCCCCGCCAGCCCCAGGCCCGCGCCGAGCCCCAGTCCCAGACTCGCCGACGTCGGCAGCAGCTCGGCGCTGCTGTTCTTGGCCGCCCAGCTCGCGCCGGCGCCCGGCTCGTGCGCCAGCTCTGACAACGTGAGACTCGGACTGAGCGCCTTGGCCTGATGTCGGCGTCGGCCTGGGTGCAGAAAGCGCTGCAGCAGGTGCGGAGGCCGCGTGCGCTCGACGCCTGCCAGCGTCCGCGTCTCGGCGCGCGGACTCGACTCGAGTGGCGCCGCAGCTTCCTTGACCGAGTTGGAGCAATCCCGCCGCGCCATCGACGCTTTCCTAGCCGCCGGATCCACAAGGCTGGCCTCGGCGGGCACCTTGTGATCCTGCGCGAACGCGATGGTGGTGCTGCCGGCAACGGCGGCAATCAGGCCGCTCGACATGCTCCTCTGCGCATGCAGCTGCTGGCGCCGTTCGGCCGCCTGGCGCAACGGCGTGATGAGCGCATTCGACAGCGCGCTGCCCACCCTCGAGCCAAGCCTGGCCTCGTGCGCATCCGCCTTGGCGCTTGCGTCGCCGCTCTCGTCCGCATCGTCGTCGTCCAGCGGCACAGTGGATCGGAACAGCACTCGATCGCACCACGACGGCACGCGCTGCTTGGCACTCGTGTCGTATGGCTGCGCCTCCAAGAAGTCAATCTGCTCGGCGGTGGCGCCCGTCAGATGCGGGTACTTGGCCTCCCGCTGCGCTTTCGCCGCCAGAGCCTGCGCCGATGCTCGTGCCAGCTGCGCCGAAGATCGTCGCGACAATGCGCCCGTGAACGCCACAGAGTGCTCGCTGGACGGGGTCTGCACATCGCCACTCGAGCCTCGGCGAGGCGTGCCAATCTCGCCATGTCCGACGCTGCTGAGCTGGCCGTCGTTCGACAGAAGGCTGCCTCTCCTCGCTCCTCCTCGCTGTAGATCGTTGTGATCGGTGAAGGAAGCAGAGTATTCGGTGGTGGGCGAAGGCATCGACAGAACCGAGTCGACGATCGAGGTATTGTCACTCGGGAACGAGGCTGGCATGGCGCTCTTCCTAGGCGACTCGGTGAGGACGTTGAGCCACTTCTTCTTGCCGCCGGGCTGGCCGTCTGCAGACGCAGCACCGCCAAGCTTGTCCTTCAGATTCGAGTTGGCCGCATTCCTGACTATATCCATGATCTTGAACTTGGCCTTGATCGCAGCGCCCTGCGAAAAGAAGCGAGGCCCCTGCGCTGCACTCGTGTTCTCTGCCAGCTGTTTCTGCTGCTCGAGCTCGAGCTCGCGCTCGCGTACCAGTGCCGGATCGACGCCCTGTGACATACGCGCTTCCTCGTGTTTGAAGGCACGAGCAAAGCCAGACGAAGAGGCAACCGAACCGAATGCCGATGATGAAGCGATGGAAAAGCGGTCTTCGTCCGAACGATCCGGATCCTGCAGGTCGACCGTTTCCATGGCAGCCTCGATACGGTCCGGTCTGCCTGCAATGGGGATGGTGCGTGCCGATTCATCCTGCGATGAGCAGGGCTCAGGCTCACCCGGTGCGATGCAGGAGAAGCTGGCGTCGTCAGTGTCGTCGCCTCCAAGCCTGCCAGGTGCCTCTGACCCGATCGCACCCTCTTCAGGAATCACCTCGCCAATCGGTGTTCCGGCGAGGTCCAAGCCCGTGGGTTTGGTCGTGCCAGCCAGGTTGCCAGCGCCCGGTATGTCGACGCCGCTCCGAATCGACGTGAGCGTCTTGTTGCGCTTGATCTTGAGCGTCTTGAGTACGTCGTACTTGTACGTTGGAGGGAAGTTGATGGAAGCCTCTTTGAAGCCTCTGAAAGCGTCTCCATCTTTGAGCACCTTGCCGAGCTGGTCGAAGGCGAGCGCTTGATCGTACTTCTTGTTCATCATGAGCCAATCGGCATGCTGACGCGAGATGTCGATGCGGAAGTTGAGATCGCCGAACCAAAAGGTGTGATCGAATTGCTCGGTGATATCCTCGAGCTTAGAACGAGGATCACTAGGCGGCAAGAACGAGTCCACCTTGAGGGCGGCCTTGATCTTGGCGACGTTGGCGAGGCGGAGTGCCACCTTGTCCTCGTGTGCAGCGAGATGCGCGTTGACAAACAGCAGTCGCGTGGTGCCGAGTTTGAGCGAGATACCGACGCCGCCTTTGTTGCCAACGCGACCGGCGAGCAGACCGGACTTGACGTGCGACCGAGACGCGCCGCGCACACGATCCTTGCAGCCACGCCAGACGTACACGGCCATGTAGCATCCCATCATTCGCTCCTTGATGACGAGCTCGTAGGGTCCCAATGCTTTCGGCATAGTGTCTGCAAAGGCCCTCTCGAGGGCCTTCTGACTCTGACCGGATTCCATAGCGTGGCTGGCCAGGGATGATGGGGCTGGCGACGGGGTCTGGCGAGAGACAAGGCCGTCCCGAGGGCCCTCTTGGTCAGTGGGGCACGGCGAAGGCGAACGAGACGGCGTCGGAGGCTCTACGAGCACGCCATTCTCCGCTGGAGAAGCAGTGCGAGAGACTGGATCGGCTGCCGCCTTGGCAAGCTTCGAAAGGCTGTGGGAGGAGCTCATGCGGCTCATCGTTGGGGTGCCGGGAACGGCGAGCAGGCCACCCGAGCTCGTTGAAGCAGGGATGGCGCTCGAATTGTTAGCAGCCGCCTTGGTGGATGCCTGCGGAGCCTGGGGCAAAGCATGGATGGCAGTGGGCTGTATCGCAGTGGGCGAAAGCAGCACGGGTGACGAGACGCATTCGGCGTCAGTGAAGGTCGCGGGGCTCGAGCGACCGGCAGAGGCAGATTTCTTGACGAGATCGACCGGATTGAGATTGAGTCTGGGCACGAGACGCCTGCGCTTGTCCGCACTAGCCATGTTCGCAACGGCATCTGGATTCGCTTGGTTCTGCGCGTCGCCATACGCATTGAAGCCCTCGAAGGTGCTCTGGTTGGGAGTGCCTGGAGCGCTGGCGCTGAACTGCAGACCGACTGGACTGGCTGCACGGGAAAGCTCGGGTGTGACAGCAGCAGAAAAGGATGGCATGGGCATGCTCAAGTGCTGTTCTGCCAGATTCTCGCGGGAGACGGCAAGGTCCTTTTTGGAAGCGGATTGGGAGAGTGCGCGAGCAAGGCGTGCGCCGCTGATGAAGGACTTTTCTCTGCCGTCTTTGGCTTCCCTATCTTTCTTGGCAACTTGGTTGCGACAGAGCCAATCCTCGCAAAGGTCGCTCCAGCCTTTGCCGCCGATGTTGGGCCAGGCAGCGAGCTTGTCGTCATTCTGCGATTCCAAGTTTGGGCCGAAAGCGGACATCGAGGTGCCGCCGATCATCGGCGAGGCGAGTGGATGGCCGGGAAGCGCTGACGACGTAGAGGTGGAAAGGAAGGGGAAGCCCGATTCGTCACCTGGACCCGTAGGGCCATCCTTGCTGTTGGGCGCGGCAGTTGACCCGTCGAATTCTGACGGTGCTGTGTTCGAGCCATCCAAGCCGTTCGATGCACCATCGCTGTCTCCAGACCTCTGCTTTTCTTTTGCCTTGAACGGCTTGGATTTGTCCTTATGGCTGTCCTTGTCCTTCTCTTTGGCGGCGCGGGTCCTCTGCTTACCAAAGTCGCCAAGCTCTCCGGCCATACCGACGCTAGTGGCGAGTCGCTTGCCGTCGCCCCATGGACACTCTTGTCCAGCGATGACCAGAACATGGTAGGGGTGCGATTCGTCGTGTGGCAGAGGCGGGATGCGGTCGGCTCTGGGGACGTGTTCCTGGCCCACGACGTGTGCACCTTTCCGTGTGCGGTCACGTTGGGAATCTTCGTCGCCTTCTTCGTCTGCACTATCGTAGCTGACGTCCCATCCGTGCTGAGGAGCTACGAATTGGCCAGCTTTGCCTAAGAGGACCTCGAGATCGCCCTTGGGCACGGAATCATGCATGTTCCAAGTGATGATGCGCACCTTGATGGACGGGCGCTGGCGTATCTCGGCTTGCTCCGATGATGGCTGCGACGACTGCGTCTCTGCTTGATCCATTGCCGAAGAGGCGGTGTGTATACCTGCGGGCAATTGAGAGGGATC